TATTAATACATGCATATATAAAGTAAAGGAAATAATTAAGGAAACATACAAGTGATACACATGTAGGAGCCACAAACAATGAGTAATGACAACTATATAATAAAATTTAATTATTAATAATACATGCATATATATAAAGTAAAGGAAATAATTAAGGAAACATACAAGTGATACACATGTAGGAGCCACAAACAATGAGTAATGACAACTATATAGTACATTTCATTATTATTAATACATGCATATATATAAAGTAAAGGAAATAATTAAGGAAACATACAAGTGATACATATGTAGGAGCCACAAACAATGAGTAATGACAACTATACAGTACATTTAATTATTATTAATACATGCATATATATAAAGTAAAGGAAATAATTAAGGAAACATACAAGTGATACACATGTAGTAATGACAACTAAATAGTAAGTTTAATTATTAACAAACCAAAATATTATCAGTTAAATTATAAAAGTGAATAAGTTGCACAATTTTCCATGTAAGCTCTTTACTTTACACAGAACATTACCCCTTGTTTTAGTGCTGCCCTACAATTTACCAGCGTATAATTGTGAAATGCACTTCCAAGTTACTACCTACAATTTTAGAAACAGTTTTTTGGTCATTTCTGACCTTCTTTTACATAAGCCATACAGCTTCAAGAATGTTCACATTTCATATTGGGACTTTGTACAGACAAAGCCATGGTTGCGAGTGTTCCATTGGACTCTTCACCTTCAAGATATTAATTATTTCATCACATTGCTGGCAGATTAAGTACCTGTCCAACGAGTTATGTTCCTGAAGAACTGGCATGATGGATTAGAATTGGCCTGCACATGTCAACAGTCAGAGAACCATCATTTCTCAAAATGTGGGGCATGCCCCCCCAGGAGGGGTACAAACAATTAGGGTAGAGTCAATAGTGCAAAATTAGGTATTTCAATATCTTTTTTTTTGTTTGTTAACGAAAATAATAAGTAATTACAACAACACACGTAGTATTATAATGCATATTCATGTATTATACATCAGCACTAAACTCATTTAAAAGTAAAGAGGGGGTGTAGAAAAAACCATATTTATTAAAGGGGGTGCATGGATGAGAAAAGTGTGGGGAATGGTGCTCTAAGCATTCCTGTGGCCAACTTACATTAAAACAGAGGCAGTAAAAAAGAAACAACAACTAGAGACAACACAGTGTCAGTAAAAAAAATATATGTAATGCTATGTTAAAAAAAATACATAAATTATTTTGGTTACTTGGAAATAACAGAAAATTCTGCATAAAAATACTTTGTACTTATTACAACAAAAACGATCTGTAAAACACTTTTCTGTTTTGGGGTATGTTTGAAAATTGGAAGAAATGTGCTATTAGAATGTAATAACCCAGCAAAAAAGTTGAACTTGTGGAAACAAGTGTGTTAATACACCAGCTACATCTTTGTAACAGTTTTTCATGACACAAAGAAATACATGCTTAAAGGCCATATGAAAAAAAATACTTCACATTTACGGTTACCAGTAACAGTTAAGGCTTTTATTTATGTATTGCTAAGTTAATTGAGTTAAGCCTAATGATTTAACTTTATGTATATTAAACTAACAATGCTGGACCTATGTCCTATCACACAAATCATTATGAAAGCAGCATAGATTTCACCATGTAGGATTACATGAAAATATTATAGAGTTTATCAAGATGTATTTAACTGCTGTTGTTTAGTCCTAGCTGTAATGCACCCCATCAAGCTTGGCATGAATAAAGGATTCTATCAAATATTCCATTTAAAAGCCAAAATCTCATAATAATCACAAAACAACTAATAATTTCATTCCTCCATGACTTGCCTTTTATAACTGAATAAGCAATTATTAGAGTATAGAAAAGCATGAAAGTTAATTTTTTCCTTAGCTGCTCATTAGTTATTTTTTTTTAGTGTAGTCCAAGGTTAGATTTTCATAATTATTGGGTAATTAAACAAGAGAAACAAAACAACAACAATGGAATTACTTACTGGAGGGCCTGGTAATCCAGGTGGCCCCATCAGACCAGGAGGTCCCATTTCTCCTTTATTACCTTTGTCCCCACTAGGTCCTGGTTGCCCCTTTTTATAAACAACGACATTGATCTCATGAAGCTTTAATTAATTACTTTATGGAAAACAATTGAAAGTATATGTGTTAATTTCGAAAAAGGATTTTGTATTGTTAAACATTTCATTGGTATTGGGGCATAAATATCAAGTTTTAAAAATCGTTAAACTTTAATTACCTAGAATAATACATTAATCACCAAACATTATATTTAGAGATACACACGACAGACTTGTAAAAATAGTAAACTCTATTATTACAAATTATTTTGTTAAAAATACAATAACTTATGAAACTATTAACTACAAAATATGATAAATAGTACACAGGTGAACTGAATAATGGAAACACCTGTTAACTTCTACCTTTAATTTACTAATAAGGGCTTCATCCTCCATGAGCAGATAAAAAAGCATTAGCACAACATGAAATTGATAAAATAGTGTGTTGTAGATCACTCTACAAGAAAATCAACATTAGTTTGTGACCAGTAAACATTTTTTTGGATCATGGTCTTGCTGGTCCCCAACCTCACCCCAGCTGTTTTTGATTCCTAGAAGAGTGGAACAGTTCATCCCATTTATTAGTGGTTTATAGATGGGTGGCCCCATTCATCCTAGCTGTTGTTGGTTCCTACATAGGTGTCCCCATTTATCCTAGCTGTTGCTGGTTTATAGATGAGTGGCCCCATTCATCCTAGCTGTTGCTGGTTTATAGATGAGTGGCCTCATTCATCCTAGCTGTTGTTGGTTCCTACATATGTGGCCTCATTCATCCTAGCTGTTGCTGGTTTATAGATGAGTGGCCTCATTCATCCTAGCTGTTGCTGGTTTATAGATGAGTGGCCCCATTCATCCTAGCTGTTGCTGGTTTATAGATGAGTGGCCTCATTCATCCTAGCTGTTGCTGGTTTATAGATGAGTGGCCTCATTCATCCTAGCTGCTGTTGGTTCCTACATAGGTGTCCCCATTTATCCTAGCTGTTACTGGTTCCTACATAGGTGTCCCCATTTATCCTAGCTGTTACTGGTTCCTATATGGGTGGCCCAATTCATCCTAGCTTTAGCTGGTTCCTACATGGGTGGCCCCATTCATCCTACTAATTGCTGGTTCCTACATGGGTGGCCTGATTCATCTTTGCAGTTATGAGACAATGACGTTTGACCATTCACTGAACAAAGCTTCTTCTAATTCTTGAAGTGATGTTGGTGGCCCAAAAAATTCTGCCTCAACAATTGGTTTAAAGAACTGACCACAGAGGCTCTATAACATTTACATCTGGTAACTGTGGTGGTCAAGTTATTTGACCAATCTTTCCCTCATGTTCTCTGAACCAATCTTTAACAATCTCAGCAATATAAACTGGTACATTGCCTTACAGAAACAGATAAGTTCTATTTGGGAATAAAGTGAATCCTCTCAGTGAGATCATAGGTTCTTAGCCATTCCAACAAAATGTCCTTGGAGCTTCTTTTTGTTTTGACAATACATAAAAATTCCTTTTGAAGGAAAAGTGTAAAAGATAATTAATCTGATCAAACCACATCGTTCTATTGAACTTTGGTCCAGTTTTTACATTCTTCACACAATTTTATCCTGGTTAGAGGTTTATATGAATGGCAGACCTACAAGGTAACCCATTCTGTTCACTTTCCCTCAAGTTGTTTGACAGTTGTTACTGGTAATGGTAACTTCTGACACTGTTAGTCTTTTGTTTATCCATCTCAACCTGTCAACTTACTTCTTTGACCACTATTAGGTTTGTCTGATGCAATTCTATATTTCAATATCCTTGCTGACGTAACTTTTGAATCGGGATACCTTCATTATTTTAGGTGGTCACTGAAAATCTATGCATACAACCATACCTTTTTCACAATCTGAAATATTTTCTGCTTGACATTTTTATAACCTTTCTCTTGAGAAAAAGAATATACTATTCACACACAAACAAATTCAAATATGCGGAATAACTCAACAAATAGTTGAATTACCATATGGCTAAATTTTCTCATTTTAGGAACACCAGAACTTGGAGTTAAGAAGGTGAAATGTCTGACCTCTTTAAATATTAAAATGTTGTTCACTGTTTATAACTAAAGGACAATACATACAGGTAGTCCTGGAGGTCCTTGTGGCCCTGACTCGCCATCCCTGCCATCAATCCCTGGTAACCCTGCTGGTCCAAATTCACCCTAGAAAGTAAGAAACTTTTAAGCAATTTAAAACAATTACATATTTAATTTTATTCAGCACTACTTGCAAAGAAAAAGTTACACAAGACTAAAAGTCAAAGTAATGTGATACAAGGTTACACAAGACTACAAGTCAAAGTAATGTGTTACATTGTTACACAAGACTACAAGTCAAAGTAACATGTTACATGGTTACATAAGACTACAAGTCAAAGTAATGTGTTACATGGTTACACAAGACTACAAGTCAAAGTAATGTGTTACATGGTTACACAAGACTACAAGTCAAAGTAATGTGTTACATGGTTACACAAGACTACAAGTCCAAGTAACGTGTTACAAGGTTACACAAGACTACAAGTCAGAGTAACTTCTACCTACCAGTAGCTGGTCAGTTAATATTAAACTGTTTAGAAGTAAGGGTGAGTAACTTCTACCTACCAATAGCTGGTCAGTTAATACTAAACTGTTTAGAATTAAGGGTGAGTAACTTCTACCTACCAGTAGCTGGTCAGTTAATACTAAGCTGATTAGAAGTAAGGGTGAGTAACTTCTACCTACCTGTAGCTGGTCAGTTAATACTAAGCTGTTTAAAAGTAAGGGTGTGTAACTTCTACCTATCAGTAGCTGGTCAGTTAATACTAAACTGTTTAGAAGTAAGGGTGAGTAACTTCTACCTACCAGTAGCTGGTCAGTTAATACTAAGCTGTTTAGAAGTGAGGGTGAGTAACTTCTACCTACCAGTAGCTGGTCAGTTAATACTAAGCTGTTTAGAAGTAAGGGTGAGCAACTTCTACCTATCAGTAGCTGGTCAGTTAATACTAAACTGTTTAGAAGTAAAGGTGAGTAACTTCTACCTACCAGTAGCTGGTCAGTTAATACTAAACTGTTTATAAGTAAGGGTGAGTAACTTCTACCTACTTGTAGCTGGTCAGTTAATACTAAACTGTTTATAAGTAAGGGTGAGTAACTTCTACCTACCTGTAGCTGGTCAGTTAATACTAAGCTGTTTAGAAGTAAAGGTGAGTAACTTCTACCTACCAGTAGCTGGTCAGTTAATACTAAACTGTTTAGAAGTAAGGGTGTGTAACTTCTACCTACCTGCAGCTGGTCAGTTAATACTAAGCTGTTTAGAAGTAAGTGTGAGTAACTTCTACCTACCTGTAGCTGGTCAGTTAATACTAAACTGTTTAGAAGTAAGGGTGAGTAACTTCTACCTATCAGTAGCTGGTCAGTTAATACTAAACTGTTTAGAAGTAAGGGTGAGTAACTTCTACCTATCAGTAGCTGGTCAGTTAATAC